CCTTTCCGCCCTTCCTATCTCCGTCGCCGCCCTCCTCTGCCCCAAGGGGAGAGCGTCCCTCTGAGAGCCCGCCAAGAGGCCTCAGGAGGCCCCAGGACAGGAGGGAAGAGCAAGAAGGGATGAGGACGACGACGAATACAAAGAAGAAACAACCCGACACGATGCCGGAGAGCGTGTCACATGTTACGACTGTCCCAAGTCCCGGGACACGAGGTGTTTCAAGGTACGGCTTCCTGCGCTATAACTCGAACTGTCGCCACCCATACTGCTGGATTCGCATGGTGGTGGGACTTGCTACAGGCAACTGGACAGTAAACAGAGAGAACATGGAGAAAAGGGAAAGGGAAAGCGAGTGACTGGTCGAACGAGAATGTCGGGGCAACAGGAGGAAACTACCAGGCAAATGCCTAAACCAAAGCGGCGGCGGGGCGCGGATGGGCCTCGCTCACTGCGAAGTGACCAGTGCTGTGGGCGGCCTGCTCGGCGTGTTGCTCCGCCTGGCGCAGGCGGCGGCTGGGGGCCACTCGGTGCTACTTGAGAGACTGAGGACCACGACTTGCTTGATGTGAAGCGACTGCTGTGTGACATGATCGACGCCCCGAACTCTTCCTCTGATTCGACCGTTACCACATCCTCGTCCACGGTTCCAAACTCGTCAACTTCATCGCTCCACTCCCGCCCCCGCGGGCACCTCTTCTGCCCCTGGATCGCACCGAACCCATTGAGAGGACAAAAGCTTCGAGCAGTGTGAGACCTGATCGGACAAGAACGGGAAGGGCCAATGTTGTCAATTGTGCTCGTTGGGGAAACGAAGAAAGGGATGATGGCGACGACAAGGCGGCGAATGACGAGGATGACAGCGCGGATGACGGTGAGGGCAGCGAAGGAGAAGGAGGACGACGGATGGGAAGACAACCACGAGGACGAGGAGGAAAAGATGAACGAGGACGAAGACGAGCAGGAACGAAGCGGAGGAGGAGGAGGAAGAGGAGGAGGACGAGAAGAAGGACGACGACGACGACGACGACGACGACGACGACGACGACGACGACGACGACGACGACGACGACGACGACGACGACGACTGAGGAGGAAGGTCAGGAGCTCGACGAAAATGCAGTCGACGAGGGGAGGATCGTCGTGATCTGTTGAAACTACCATGGGGGGCTGTTAAAGCCGTCTGGGGCTACCTTGGGGCATCCTGGGGGCCTCTGGGGGGCCTGTCGGCGCGGGGGTTCTCTCAGGCCGCCTCGGCACCATATTGGGTTGTCTTGAATCGTCTGGGGCATCTTGGGCCTCTCTCTCTTGTTTCTCTTTTTCTCTCTCTCTCTCTCTCTCTCTCTCTCTCTCTTTCTCTTTGTTCGCTCTCTCTCTCTCTCGTTCTCTCTCTCTCTCTCTCTCTCGCTCCGTGTCTCTCTCTCTCTCTTTCTATGGGGCCTCCTAGGGCCCTCTGTGGGTCCTCCGGGGGGGAAGACTTGTGGGCCACGATGAGCAATCCGAAAAGCAATTCGGAGACAACTGCAAAACAACAATTGTTGAGGGCGTCCAAAACGAAACGGAAATGTTTTTGAAACCTAATCGAACAGCTAACAAAGCAATATCGCTGCTTGCTGGGAGAATATTCCCAACAAATCATAAACGCCCAGACGACTCAGAAACGCCCAACAAAATTGGTCGCGCTTCAATGTGCCGGTCGCCCTTGCTCTTGAAAACTTCCGTGTTCCCATGTTGTGCCGTGCTCCAGTGGTCCACCGTGCTCCTGTGGTATGCCGTGCTGGTTTGGTTTGCCATGCTGGTCTGCCCTGTTCCTGTGGTCTGTCCAACTGGTCTGCCGTGCTACCATGCTCTGCCATGCTGGTCTGCCGTGCTGTTGCGGTCTGTCGTGCTGGTCTGCCATGTAGCCGTGGTCCGCCATGCTGGTCTGCCATGCTGCTGTGGTCCGCCGCACTGGTCTGCCGCGTCCCTGTGGTATGCCATGCTGGTCTACCGTGTTCCTATACTACCCTGTGCTCCTATGATCTGCCGTGTTCCTGCGGTCTGACATGCTCCTATGTTATACCGTGCTTCTGTGGTTCCCGTTGCCAGTCTGCCGTGCTGCTGTGGTCTGGCGTGCTGGTCTGCCGTGTTCGTGTGGGTTGCCGTGCGGGTCCGCCGGGCGCCTGTGGTCTGCCATGCTGGTCAGCCGCCGTGTGCATGTGGTCTGCCGTGCTGGTCTGGCCTGCTCCTGTAACCTGCCATGTTGGCATGCCGTGCTGCTATGGTTTGCCGTGCTGGTCGACCGTGCTCCTGTCGTCCGCCGTGCGACATTGCAAAGTGTATGCATGCTATCTACCGCTCTGGCTTGCCGTTCTGATGTTGTCTGCCGTGCAGGCCTGCCTTGCTCCTCTCATGTGCCATGCTGTGCTGTCGTGCTCCCGTGGTCCGCCCCGTGCTCTTACGGTCTGCCGTGCTCCTGTAGTCAGCCAGGTTCCTGTGGCCTGCCACGCTCCTGTGGTCAACCGTGCTGCTGCGGTCTGCCATGCTGGTCTGCCGTGCTGCTGTGGTCCGCCGTGCTGGACCACCGTGATCGTGTGGTCTGCCGTGCTGGTCAACCATGCTGCTGTGGTCTGCCGTGCTGGTCTGGCGTGATGTTGTGGTCTCCCGTGCTGGTCTGCCGTGCGCCCACGGTTTGCAAGGCTGGCCTGCTGCGCTACCATGATATGCCATGCTGATCGGTTGTGCCGTGCTCCTGTGGTCTGCCGAGCTGGTGTGTCGGGTTGGGGTGGTCCGCCGCGCTGGTCTGTCATGCTCGTGTGATCCACCGCACAGGACCGCCGTGCTCATATGGTCTGCCGTGCTGGTTTGTCGTGCTCATGTGATCTGCCTCGTGCTCTTCTGCTCAGCCGTGCTGTTATGGTCTGCCATGCTGGTCTGTCGTGGTGATGTGATCTGCCGTGCTGCTGTGGTATGCCGTGCTGGTCGGCCGTGCTGCTGTGGTCTGCCATGCTGCTCTGCCATGCTGCTGTGGTCGGCCGTGCTGCTGTGGTATGCCATGCTGTTCGGCCGTACTGCTATGGTCTGCCGTGCTGGTCTGCCATGCTGCTGTGGTCTGCCGTGCTGGTCTGCCGTGTTGGTTTGCCGTGCTGCTGTGGTCTGCCATGCAATGAGGTCCGTCGTGCTCTCAAATTCTGCCATGCTGGTCGGCCGCGCTGCTCTGATCTGCCGTGATATACGGCCATGCTCCTACGGTCTGACTTGCTGGTCTGCCGTGATGCTGTGGTCTGCCGTGCTGGTCTACCGTAATGGTGTGGTCTGCCGTACTGCTGTGACCGGCCGTGCTGCTGTGGCCTGCCGAATTGCTGTGGTCTGCTGTGCTAATCTGCCGTGCTGGTCTGCCGTGCTTTTGTAATCTGCCGTGCTGGTCTTCCGCGCTGCTGTGGTCAGCCGTGCTGCTGTGGTCTGCCGTGCAAATCAGCCATGTTCCTGTGGCCTTGCTGGTCGGCCGTGTTGTTCTGGCTTACCGCGCTCCTACGGAACGGATCCTCCATTCCCATGTGGAGAGCATGTCCCAGACGAAACGCACGTTGTTTCAAAAGCCGATGTTGGTACATTCGTAGATTGGTGGTGATGTCTCGGTCGAAATCGTAAGCTCGGTTCGTTTTGAAGGCGCTAATGTGGTTATCGTGGGGCCTGGTTTGGGCTGCTTTGGGCCGCCCTGCTGCATTCAAAAATGAACCCAGCACGACCTTACAAACCATCAATGACTCGAGAATGTCCCCAGCGAGATCGACATGTTTGACAGGCCGGCGTATGTCGTTGTCCCGCTGTACAAGAGCGATGGCAAGATGATGTGGGAAACGATTACTGTTCGAAACTCAGTGGTTGTATGTTCATGGTCTTGGAATTGACCTCAGCGAAACCGTCATGTTCGGGAGTCGTCACGGCGCCCTTAGGGCCATCCAGGGATTCTTTTTGGGCTCTGGCTTCGTCGTTTCGAACACTTCAAAAACGATACCAAAACTACGTGTATAACAAATCCTTGGTGTAAGAATGTCCCGAGCGGAATGGGCATGTGTAGAAACGGCGCCAAACCATACAGCAATGCGGGTCTGGCGTGCTCGCGTCCACTGCCTGAGGATGTCTCGAGGGAAACGTCGTTGAATATGAGAGGCAGTAACACAGCTCGGTTGGCGGCCTGCTTGTTCGAGGATGTCTCGAGCAAAACGCCCAGCGTGGAAATCTCTAAGTTTCGAAACGTGGGTCCGACAATGCATCGAGCGAAACGCCTGCTGTGAAAATGACGATGTTACGAACAGCTCCTTTGTTAGGGAGGGTGTCTCACGCGAAATGCGCGGTTTGGGAAAAAATAGCGGGCAAGAACCGTGAGCGTTGCGTTTGTCCGCGAAGCTTGTCAGACAACATCCAGTTGAGAACCTCACAGAAACTCAGAAACGACGCACAAACGACAAAACAGAACTGCTGTCGTTTCTTTGTGTTGGCCTGCCGTGCTCATGTGGTCTGCCGCGCTCATGTGGTCTGCCGTGCTGGTCAGCCATGCAGCTCTGGTCTGCCGTGCTGGTCCGCCGAGCTCCTGTGGCCTGCAGTGCTGGTCTTTCGTACTCCTGTGGTCTGCCCCGTGCTCTTGCGGTCTGCCGTGCTGCTGTGGACTGCCATGCTGGTTTGCCGTGCTCCGGTGGTCTAACGCGTTGGTATGCCATGCTGCTGCGGTCTGCTGTGCTGGTCTGCCGTGCTGCGGTGGTCTGCCGCACTCGTCTCCCATGTTCCTGTGGTCTCCCGTGTTGGTCTGTTAGGCCGATGTTATCCGCCGCGGTGGTCTGCCGTGCTGCCGTGGTCTGCCGCGCTGGTCTGCCATGCTACTGTGGTCGGCCTCGCTAGGTCTGCCGTGCTCCTGTGGTCTGCCGTGCTGATCTGCAGTGCTCCTATGGCCCGCCTTACCTCTCCGCCGTCCGCCATGCAACCATGGTCTGCCGTGCTGATCTGCCGTGGTGCTGCGGTCTGCCCCGTACTCGCGTGGTCTGCCGTGCTGCTGTGGTCGGCCGCGCTTAGCTACCGACCGTCCGTGGTCGACCGTGATGGCTTGTCGTGCTCTTGTGATCTGCCAGGCTGGTCCGCCGTGCTGTGATGGTCTGCTGTGCTGGTTTGCTGTGCTACTATGGTCTGGCCCGTGCTCTTGAGGTCTGCCGTGCTGCTATGGTCTGCCGTGCTGGTCTGCCATGCTGGTCTGCCGTTCCGCTGTGGTTTCCCATACTGGTCAGCCGTGCTGTAATGGTCTGCCCCGTGCTCATGTGGTCTGCCATGCTCCTTTGGTCGGCTGTGCTGGTCTACCGTGCCGATGCGGTATGCAGTGCTGGCATGCCGTGCTCCTGTGGTCTGCTGTGCTGGTCTGCCGTACTGTGTTCGGCCGTGCTGCTGTGGTCGGCCGTGCTCCTATGTGGTCTGCTGTGCTGGGCTGCCGTGTTCTTGTGGTGTGCCGTGCTGGAATGCCGTGGATATGTGGTCTGCCGTGCTGGTCTGCCGTGTTGCTATGGTCTAACATGCTAATGTACTGTGCTCCCGTGAGATGCCGTGTTCTTGTGGTGTGCCATGCTGGAATGCCGTGAAAATGTGGTCTGTCGTGCTGGTCTGCCGTGGTGCTGCGGTCTGCCATGCTGGTCGGATGTGTTGCCGTGCTAATGCGGAGTGGATCCTCCAACACACCAACTTGGGGGAGGTGTAACTGGCAAAACGCTTGTCTTTGTCATACGTGGGTGTCTGTACATTCGTAGTGTGGTGATGATGTTCTGGGCGAAATCGCTTTCTTGACTCGTCATGGTGGCGCTCCTGGGTGTATAGTGCGGCCTGGTGTGGATCTTTGAGGGCGTCCTGATGCCTTCAAAAATGATTCCAGTACGATCGCACAAACATCAACTCGATGAGAATGTCCCTGGCGAAATCGCCATTGCTGAAGGCTGGTTTAGGTCGTCGTGAGGCCTTTCGAGAGCGATGGCAAGACGATGTGGATGAGCGTTGGGTACTATACTATTGCATACTCATGCTTCGAGCATGTCCCTAGCGAAATCGTAATGTTCGGGAGTCCTCAAGGCGCTCTTCTCAGAGCCATCCTGGGGTCCTTTGGGGGCCCTTGCTTCTTCGTCTTCAAACACTTCAAAGACGAGACAAACACGATATTGAGAACGGATCCGTTTCGTGAAGGTATCCCAACCAAAATGGAAGCGTTTGCTAACCAACGACGAAGCATACAGCTATGTTGGTCTGCCGTGCTGGTGTTCATTGTATGAGAATGTCTCGAGCGAGAATTGGTGGTAATAGCAACAGCTCTGTTGACATCCCATGTGTTCGAAGATTCTCTCACGCGAAACGTCCATTTACCGAAACAGTGATTGCTCTTAGGGTTCTCATTTCTGCTCTAAGGAACTGGGACGTGTCTTTGCTCTGGCGGTTGTGGCCACCGTCGCCACCCCGTTGCGGCCTCGTCGCCGCCTGTCGTCTGGACGGTGTCTTCGGTCTGGCGGCTATGTGGCCGCCGTCGCCACCCCGTCGCCGCCTCGTCGCCGCCCGTCGTCTGGGCCGTCTGCCGGTCTGGCGGCCATGTGGCCGCCGTCGCCGCCCACACAGATTGCACACCACATAGATTGCACAACATAAACTGCGCACTGCATCGGTTGCAGATTGCACCACACAGATTGCATCACATCGACTGCACCACATAAATTGCACCGCTTAGATTGCGCCACATCGACTGCACCACGCATTACATAGATTGCACCACAAAGGTTGCACCACATAGATTGCAAAACATAGAAACTTACATTTCACAGCATGTATTGCACAGCAAAAAAACACCACATAGATTGTAACACACATATTGATCCACATAGATTGCACCACACAGATTGCTCCACATAGATGCGAGAAACTTGACAAAGGAGTTCGGCACGACGTGGCCCTTTGCAATGCCGAACGTTAAGTATGTGAGTAATTCTTAGATATGTTACGGACTCTGCCAAAACATCAAACTCGCTTCTCGCTCCTCGAAGACGCTTCCCGTCATCCGCATACGCTGAATCAGATGCGGCCCCGAGCAGTATGCACGTCCTTACTTTCAAGATATGGTGGAGATTCAGCCAGAACGTCAAAATCGTTTCTTATTCCTCGACGAAGATGCGTCCCATCATCCGCCACCTGGTTGCCCGGTGCGACCCGCAGCCCTCAGAGAACACTAAACCTGATTCATAAAAACGGTCCACGCCGGAGGCGCATCCCGTCATCCGCCACCTGTGGGCACCAGCACGCAGCAGGGTTGTATCACGTCGGCGCTGTTGTGCAGGATTCCTCCACTGGCCTAAGAGCCGCTGCCCCCCCTCCACCTTCCCCCCCCCAAAAAAAACACCTGGCGAAGGGCCCAGACATATGCAGATGCGAGCACAGCAAGGCGAGTGACACGAAAGACGGGAACGAATCGTGCGAGTGGTGCGCCCAAATCGCGAGGTGGCGGCGTGAGGATTTTGCAGCTGGGCCCTTCGGTGGAGTTCCCTACAAAGACGTGCGAGGGGTGCGCCGAGATGCGGCGGCGCCGCCATGCGGACTTGGCCGCTGGGGCCTCAGTTGGAGCCCCCGACGGGGTCACGAAACGTGAGAGAGGTGCAGCCACATGGGGCGGGGCCGCCATGCGGACACTGGCACTGGAGCCGTCGGCGGAACTCCCTGTGGGGCCACGCAACGCGTGAGGGGTACGCCGAAATGTGACGGTGCCGCCATGCGGACCTGGGCACGTGGGCCTTGCTTGGGGCTCCGTGTAGCGCCACCAAACGCGCGAGGGGTGCGCCGAAATGTGGTGGCGCTGCCATGCGGACTTTGTGACTCGAGGATTCGTCGGGATTCCCCATGGGGCCACGAAACGCGAGAGGGGAGTGCTGAAATGATGCGGCGGCGCCATGTGGATTGTGGCATTTCGGCCTTCATTCAGGCTCCAGTTGGGGCCACGAAACTTGAAAGGACTGTGCCGAAATGAGGCGGCGACGCAATGCGGACGTTTGCATTTGGGATTTCGTTAGGGCTCCATATAGGACCACGAAACGCATGTGAGGGGTGCGCCGAAACGCTTCGGTGCCGCCGGGCGGACTTTGGCAGTTGGGCCTCAGCTGGAGCGCCTTATACGGCCACGAAACGTGAGGAGTGTGCCGGAATGAAGCGGCGCCGCCATGCAAACTTATGCATGTGGGCCTCAGCTGGGGCTCCCAATGGGGACACGGAACGTGTGAGGGGTGTGCCGAAATGAGCCGGGGCCGACATGCGAACGTTGGCATGTGGGCCTTCGGTGGAGCTCCCTTTGGGGCCACGAAACTTCAAAGGATTGTGCCGAAAAGAGGCAGCGACGCAATGCGGACTTTGGCATTTGGGCACTCGTAAGGGCTCCATTTGGGGCCACGGTACGCATGTGAGGGGTGCGCTGAAACGTGGCGATGCCGCCGGGTGGACGTTTGCATTTGGGCCTCAGATGAGGTCCCGGATGGGACGTGTGAGGGGTGTGCCGACATGGGGACGCGGAGGGCAGAGGCAGGGATGGGAGGAAGGAGGTGGGCGGCGGTAATGCGTCGGAGACGTCAGCGAGGCTTTTTGGCTGCTGTCCTGGGATTGCGTGCACTGGAAATCAAATGCATGCAAGAAGGCGCCAATAGACGCAGGCGACCACGAGCACGCGTGCGAGCATTTAACGAAACCCCTGGGATGGTCTGGAGTCTTGGACCCCTGGTCACATGCGTCTCCCCCCGCTCGTCCTCTCACTTCTTCCCCCCCCTCGTCCTCTTGTGAGGGGCGAGCGAGGGGGGGAAGTGAGAGGGGGCGGGCCTCCTCGGAAGTCTCAGGGGTCCCCGGTCCTTCTGGGGAGGTTTGTAAGCCTTCCCTGGAGACAGACCTCTCAGAAGGCGCGAGGGCTTCTGAGAAGTCCCGCCGCCTCCTCAGAAGCTCTTCTCCTTCTCGCTTCCCCTCCTCGCTCACCGCCGATCCTGCGAACTCCCCAGAAACTTCCCTTTGCCCCGTCTGCCCGATCGGGTTCTGTTCCCTTCTACCCCCCTTTCTGCCCCCACTCCTCCTCCGCCTCCGCCTCCTCCTCCACCTCCTCCACCTCCTCCTCCCCCTCCTCCTCCTCCACCAGCTCTTCCTCCTGCTGCACCTCCTCCTCCTCCTCCTCCTCCTCCTCCTCCTCCTCCTCCTCCTCCTCCTCCTCCCCCTCCTCCTCCTGCACATCCCCGGTGCGCCCGTCTGCCGCCAAACCTCCGCCCCGTGCCCCGTTCCCACCCCGGCCTGCGCACGGCCATCGCCGGGCGCGGCCGCGCGGAGCCGCACGAAGAGCTCCAGGCAGCCCAGGCGCAGCCCTGGCTGATCGCAGACGACCTGGGGCCAGCTCAGATGGGCCCTCGGTTCCCCCTGCCTCGCTCGGGGATGGGCAGACCCCCTTTAGCAAAACGTGGTTTAGTGAAAACGACCTGATGCCCAAACCTGGCGGGCGCAAGCCTGGAAAATAACGGCCACGGCGCCCTCTCGAAAACCGAAAACGGACAATTCACTAATCGACGTGTCATTGTTGGGGGTTCTGTCCACCCCGACTCGCCTTCTTCCCTTCCGTGCTCTCCCAACGCAACCCCCTCCTGCGCCCTCTCGTCAACATGCTTCCACATCTCCGTCACACCTTTTTTCCTCCTACAGCAGGGGCCCGGCCACAAGGAGCCTTCCACGAAAAAAACAACCCTGAGCCCACAGGACGTCCATCGTTTTTTTGGTATGGGAACGTCACGCTTTCCACGGCAAAACCATCGAAACCCAAGAAACCCAGGGCACCCTGGAGGCAAACAGGGTGTTTCTTGGTATGGGCCTCCACTGTACTTCTCCTATATAACTGCCTCCTCCTCCCCCTCCTGCCTCCATTCCCCCTCTTCCTCCTCAGAACTCGCAGGACTGAAAGTCGTGAGTCCCTCCATGCGCGCGAGAGAGATACACCAGACACGGTGTTCCGAAAGGTACTACGAGCCACTGGCACAGCACAGACGACACGCAGATACTAAGACAATCGAAGGAAGTGGCTGAGATAACAATTCGGATGCAGATAACAGCGTCCCGAACCAAACGAGGCGACCCCTTGACGGAGGATATCATTGCAGCTGTGCGTCGAACGTCTGCCAGAGGGGAGCCGAAGGCTAAGAAACTCACGACGAGACGAAAACAAAGCAAGGATCCACTCTGCCATGCCCTACAGCAAGTCCGTGTGGCGATGACGTCGACATATGTTCTTGACCCCTCATGTAGAATACCATGTGGGACGTGCCCTAGACCAGGAGCAGGCCGTAGACGGATCTAGCCTTTCTCTGGCATTGCACTGTGCCGAACGCAACCGCCGCGAAGTTTGACGCATCCACCCCGAATGTGTTCAAAAAGGGCTCAGCGTGTCTTTTGACGCGCGTGTGTCTGGAAAGCGGTGGCACAACGTTGCTCCTCGCCTTCGTGGTGCTCTTCTCGTTCCTGGGCGTCGACCTGGTAAAGTGGCACGTCCTCCTCTGCGGTGCTTGAGGCTGGTGTTCGCGACGTGCCGTTGACGGCAACACCATCTCCTGGTCTTCGCCCCCGGTCCCTGTCCGCGGCGTACCTTTTCCTGTGCAAGCTCTTCGGCACCGCCTGCACCCTGGGCTCCGCCCGCTCCGGCCACCTGAGGCCCCGCCTTCCTGTGCCCTGTCTCCCTAATTAAAGCTGTGCGTAGCCCGCCTAGCTTTTGGCGGAAGAGGTTCGCTCTCGCCCCGCAGACCAAAAAAGTGTGCCTGGAAAGCGAGGACGGCATCCAGCATGGGCCCGAGGTGCCAGTCCTCTCAGCAGCAGGTCGACTCTTCCCTGCAACATCTCGCAGGCCGCCCCGCCTCGGACGACCGCGGCCTTCCGCCAGCGCGGCTCGATTTCGGCCGACTCTGGGCCGCTGGCTGCGCTCCACCCTGGATCACCCGCGCTGGGGCCCCCTCCCGCGTCCTCGGGGGCGCGGCCGAACCGACCCCTGGCAGGCCATCCCCTGCCGTCGCCCTCGCCTTCCGAGCCTCCCCTTCCAGCCGCGCGCGCGCGCCTGGCAGGGCGAGGCCACGGGGGGAACGCCACGCAAAAAGGGGCCCGTCTGCCAGGGGTCGGGTGGGCCGCCCCTGACGCCAGCGCGGC